CGAAAGGTTACGTGATAAGAAACTGGCTCCTATCACCTACCCCCAAGGCTTGGCCATGGCTCGGGAGATCGGTGAGTCTCCTGTGCTGGCAGATCTCTGGGGCATGGAGGGGGTGAGGGACAGTGTGTGGTGGTAGAACCAGAGTGGTTGAACTGGAGCTCTCTTTCCCCAGGGTCAGTAAAGTACCTTGAGTGCTCTGCCCTGACACAGCGGGGCTTGAAGACGGTGTTTGACGAAGCCATCCGGGCTGTGCTCTGCCCACCGCCCGTGAAGAAGCCTGGCAAAAAGTGCACTGTGTTTTGAGGGCTGTGGCCTCGGTGCTGGCTCAGCATGTTGTCGTCCTCTGACAGATTGCGTATTAGCTGGGTGTTTCTGGAGGGGGCTGGGATGTGTAGGGCCCTTCATCATGTACGAAGTCAGTGTTTTTTAAATGTCTCTTTGATTTAACGTCAGTGTTGATGTGAAGGGGCAGTGGGGGCAGGAGACCAGCTGGGGGCTGTACGGCCCCCAGGGGAGGTACAATGGGGAAGGCAAGGTAGCTCCTTCAGGCAGCAGGCTGTTTTGGCTCTCCTGAACTCTAAGCTGAAAGGCCTGAGACATCTATCCTGTCCTGGAAACACCTGTTTTAAACCTGCAGGTGAAACAGGTGGTGAACATCCTGGTGGGAGTGGGGAGGGAGCTGATTTCAATGGTGCTGAGAGACAACAGCAGCTGGGAGGGTGGTAGGGTCTCCTTGCCCAGCCTGCTGTGGCTAACAGTTAACAAACTGGTGCTCTAGCAGAACGTGCCTGAGACTGTTACAAAATCATAACCAGCCCTGGAAGGGGTCGAAGTAAAAGAGAAGCTGAAGAACTAATCATTAGGTGCTTTATTGGGTACTAGCCAAACTCTGTGCGTGAAACAGCTCTGCGCAATCAATGCATTTGCCTTTTTGTGTGTGCACACCCTAGGACAGCATGGTGCTGCTCCCCCCCATCAATCTTTAGCAGGGCCTCCCCCCAAAATCCAGTCTCTGCAGAGCAGGGCTGGGGTTGTTGCCTCTATTTTGTTTTTTTCTACTAAAGACAGCAAAGGAAGCAATGAGGAGTCTGCTAACTTCTTTCCCTTCCCACTGAAAGTGCAGACAGGCTCTATGGTTTTGGATGGAACAGGGAGAGCTTCTGAAGGGTTGTGGGGGGGGAACAGGGTTGGAAGAGAGGTCCAATTTCTAATCATCATGTAGAGTGACAAGATAAAACCTTATTTGGTGCAATAAACATTCTCCATGACGATGTATGTGAGCTTTATTATATAGCAGCCTTCCAAAAGTTATTTTCTGCCTCACTTCTCCTACAGGCTCCAGCCCTGCTGCCCCTCCAGCAAGACTATGTCTGTGTCATTGTTTTCTATCCAGTTTACATCTATGCAGTACCAGTAGGGAAATTAAGGCCGAGGTGAAATGCAGGGGCCATCTTAGGAGACAAGAAAGCCCCCATCAACCATCAGTGAGCTGCCAGTTGTCATAGCACTCTTGTCACTCAGCAGGAAGAGAATGCTGTTCACCACATCATCCACCTCTGCAATCAAACACAGAGAACATCTAATGCACACCTCAAATTGTACCAGAAAAACAAGCATCCAAAGAGGTCTGCCTTGGACCTCTACAACAAATTAGAGCAGGGAAGTATTTCTGCTTCCAAACTCTGCTTGATGCAGTGTCCAGGACAGCGTAGCTGAGAGCTGGACATTAAAAAGTCCTTGTGATCAAATGATGCTTAGTTCACAGCAAACATCCCTTCAGATTTATGAACAACAGAGTAAGTTCATTTCACTTGTCCCAAGATGAGGAGGCTGTAGAAGACGGGAAGAGAAGGTTGATTCTCACCCTGTCCTCGTCAAATACTTCAGGAGTTCAGCCAGAAGGCATTCAGCAGAGCTGTGACTTTGCCCAAAAAAGCAGCAAAATAACTCAGGCTGTTACGTGAGAGGGAAGGCTTGAGACAACACGAGAGCCCAGCCTGGGAACAGACCTATCCCACTGACCTGCAAACTTTCCCAGGGGAATCCGATTAATCATGGCAGCGGATTTCTGAGGGTCACTCCAGTTAATTCTCCCCATGTCAGTCATAACCACGGTGGGGTTCACAGTGTTCACCCTAATCTGGGACCAGCAGCAACAAACAATCTAAGCAGGCTCCTCTGAGGAAACGCTCAGGTTCAGCTTTCACACCACCTCTCACAGACTCCTACCTTGTGGGGTCCCAGTTCCATGGCCATTACCTTGGTCAGCATATCCAAAGCACTTTTTGTGGAACCTTTAAGGGAAGGGAAGAACGGGAGACATTAAGTGCATAACAAAGCACCTGGTCTGGAACAGACCGGGACATTTCACTGCCCCAAACTGGGAGCTGGCAGCTTGGTGGCTTTGGTCTCCAGCTGGTCAGAACTGAGAGGGACACTGCTGGAGCTGCACATACAGTAAACGGCGTGATCCCTCAGCGCACGCTGCGAGGCCTGGCTGGAGACGTTCACAATAGCCCCTGCCACTCCCTGCGCGATCATCTGCCGAGCAACGATCTGCCAGGGGGAAGGAGAGAAAAAAAAGGAATGCCAGAATCCTAACAAGAAAAATCTATGGTAGCCAAAAGAGCAAAAACAGCTGGAGGAAGCAAGTCCTCCCTGCCTCCTGCTTACAGGAGAGTCAAAGCGTGAAGGGTCTGTATGTGCAGGTTGTCAGGCTGACTTTGGATTGCATCCCTTTAGTCCCCACAGTGGACACTTATCTGCACTATGTACAACAGTCACTGCTGTTCATGGAGACAGCTGCAGTGACAATTCTTCCTCACCTGGGAAACGTGAAGCACAGCCCCAAAATTCACATCAAGAGACCTACAAATAAAATCAAATTTAAATGTTACAGAGTGATTGTAGGCCAGGCCAGACAGCTGTTTTGAGAGGCAGCAGAGGACAAGTGCTGCTGGTCTCTTGGAAACACTGGTGATACTCTAAGACACAGACAGAAATGCTGAGCTGTCGGGCGAGCCAGGATGCTCAGGTGTGCTCTTGGCAGTGAACAGTCCATCAGCCACAGGCATGGCACTGCCGGGGGAGGTGCAGTTGTGCACTGGCACGTTTCCCTCAGGACTCTGTCCTTCATCAGCCTAATGGAGTTTCCTCTGACAAAGTTTAAACACTAAGCCCTTGGGCCTCAGCCAGTGGCAACTCAGGTCAAGCAAATCTTTCACACAGCTCTAAAGAGCAAATCTGTTGTAAGGTGGGTAGAGGCAGTGTTTCTGCTGTTTGCCATATCGTCCCTCCTTTGTCAGGCCAGTTCTGCAGAATGGTCTTAGCAGAATCCATACCTTTTATGTTCGTCACAAACGAATCCTTTATTATAGACTCTCAGCAGACATTTTTAACATAGGGACAAAGCGTGACCCATCCTCTCAGAATGATGTGGACTCACCCATAGCCTGTATCCTAAAGCTCACTCCCAGACAAACTATGGAGCTTTTCAGAGAAAAAGATGTCATGTTATTGTAGTAAGCAAATTTAATTTCCCACCGTGACCATTTTATGCTCCCTTACCTGGCTTTGTCTTCTCTATTTCTGAATTGTCTTAGTGACAACTGCCTTTAACCGGGGCCGAGTTGGAACTAGACTGGAAGCTCTGAGCTTGATGAGCAGCAAAGGCACTCACCTCCTGTGCCAGTGGGATGGCAGGTGCACCCCACCATTCTGGAGGTGACACTGCAGGTTCTGGCTACTGAGAAACAGGTGTAATACCCAGTGCTTGGTTTCCTTTTGCTGTTTATAGGGGGAAAGGTGATTATGTAAGGAATGAACAGACAGTAAAGAAAAAGGACATATGGAGCGTGCGTGTCAGCCTGTCTGGTGTCTGTGCACCAGCTGCTGTCCTTTCGAGTTGCTTCCTGTCTCAAGACACCCGTTTCTGAAAAGTTCTGCCACCGTTTTTGACGTTCACGGCTGTGCGACCCCTTGGCGGGGCAGACTCGGCCCCAGAGGCACTCACCTCTGCAGGGCCTCCCGCGTCACCTCCAGGAAGGGCTGCAGCTCCGCCACCGCCGCGTTGTTCACCAGCAGCTCGAAGGGCCCCGCCGCGCCCACCGCCGCCTCCGCCGCCTCCCAGTCCGCCAGGTCCAGGCAGAGGGGCTCGATGCCCGGGCACTGCGGCGAGGGCGGCCGCGTGGGTGGGAGGCCGCGGGGGAGCCCGGGGGGGTTATCCCGGGGGGGGGTTATCCCGGGCAGTTCGGGGGGGGTGGCCGGTACCTCCCGCACGAGGCTCTCCAGATCCGCCGCGGTTCGGCTCAGCGCGGTCACTCGGGCCCCGGCCCTGCTCAGCGCCACGGCCACGGCGCGCCCGATCCCTGCGGGGACACGGCGTCACAGCCCGCCCGGCCCGGCCCGGCCCGACACCCGGCCCCCAGCCCCGGGCACCTTTGCCGGCCCCAGTGACCAGGGCCCGCCGGCCGCGGAAGCTGGGATGCGGCTCCATGCTGCGAGCGGACTGTGGCCGGGGCGGGCCCGGGGCCGAGGCGGGGCCCGGGAAGGGCGGCCCGAAAGGGCAGGGCCAGGCAGCGGGATCCGTCCCCGCTGCCCCCCGGAACGCGGCACGGAGCCATCTCGGGGCAGAGACAGGCACGCAGAGGTGGTTTCTTGACTCTAAGTCTCACTGAAGTATCACCTTGAGCGCCCACAGCAAACCAGGCTTTTAAGCGGCTGATGAGAAAGACCTGCCTACTCTACCCATTCGAATTTGCTGATGTAAGATGACAACAATTAACGTCCTCCTTATCTCGATTTTTTGACTTTGTTAATTATCATTTGGAAGGATTCTTATCCATATTTGCTCTCCCACCCATCCAAATCATTTATCTCCCGTGCTTTTTGGCCATTGGCATGACATGAGCCTGACAGAACGCTGCAGATTTCCGGATTAGAGGGTTTAGGGTCCATTTTTTGCATAGAACGCAGGTGAAGAAACATGACAAAACATAGCCTTTGACATATTTAAATATTTATTTTGTAGAATCACTTTATGTATGAAAAAGTAGGTTTTTTTAAAAAGCTGCATCCTGATAGATCCACACAGCTTACTGTATTCTCAACACAAGAAACCATGGAAGGAGCCTGAACACACCGAACAGTTCCCTATTGCCTTGCAGGAGAACATGGTCCTTTTAAGTTCCATAAACACCCTCCCCACTTCGAGGGCACCGCCTCTTTGGCACACCTATTTTAGGTTGACCAGTGACCACAATGTGAAACTTCTACTTAGTTTTGCTGCCATCAGTATGAAGTGTTGTAATTTTTTAACTGCAGTTTGCCATACAACTGCCGCCCAGTCCATGCTGTCTGTGTTATCTTACAAGAGGCTGCTTCCAGTGCAAGGGGAAGAAAAGCTCCAACAGAAGAGTTCAGAATCAGTGCTCGAAGACAAAATTGCCTCAAGAGCTCATGAAGTTTCATTTTTCTGCTACAGGAGGTTAAAAACAAGAACCTAACAAGTGTTTTTAAAAAATTATATAGATACCAGGAATCTCCAGAGCTATTAATGACCAATCATTAAACCACAGGGTGCCTCAGTTCTAGCCAGCAGAAGATCTAATAAGGAGGCAGAGCCTACTGTTCCTCAAGTCCTCCTCTGTTTTCTGTGCCAGGCACACCTGTAACACTGACAGCCCGTTATGGAACAGTCACTGTGCTGGCTGGATTTTGAGCCAATTCCCTGCAGCATTCTTATTCCCATACCTGTCACCTTAGACATATGAGAGAAAAGAAAAATACAGGAAGGAATTGCAGGACTGTAACAGAAGTCAGCTTGTTTCCTCCTCAGTAGAACTGAGTAGAACATGCAAAGAGGACAAAGTACTGAGGTAAACGCTGAAAGTTTTGTGTTACAAAGCAGAATGCAGGAAACAGTATATTTCAGAAGGCTGACACCTTTGCTAAATGGCATCATAAAATACACTGCAGGCATTTGCCAGGAAGTTCAGTAACTAGCTGAAGCCCACAGTACAGCTGAGCACAGCTGTTTAGAAATCTGAAACTTCTGCTAGGTCTGCATTCTAGCCAGCAATCATAGTTCCACATCATACACTGTAATTCCATTATTCTCCCCTTAATTCAGCCTTAGACTCTAGCACTAAACCAGTAAGTATTTTTCTGAAGAGTTTGGAAGAATGAACAGTGATTTTGCAAAGTCATTTTTCATGCTGTTCTTCAGGTCAGGTGGGGATTGCACATGGCCAAAGTCTGGGCTAACAGGAAAGTAAACATATGGAGCACCATTCCTTGCACTTTCAAAACTGTTTACTTTCTTTAAAAAGCAGCAGTAGATGATACTGCTACAGCACTGAACTTCTGCCTCCGTGTGAATGAGCACATTCATAATGTGCTCCTTTAAGTGACTGGATGAACTATTTATCAAAACTTTAAGGAATAAAAGTAAGAACTGACCTTGACCTTATGTTAATTGGAAGATTATCTGAAGAAGCTGGAGTAACCATGGTCATACAATTAAAGGTCCTCAAATGACACCATCAAGACCTTCCTCAGCACATTGCAGCTATCTAGCATTTCTCCTCCCTCAGACAGCTTCAGAAACAGGGCGTGTTTTGGCAGCCCAAGCTGTGCCAGCTCACGTGACCAACTATAGGCAATGTGGCAGAAACAATTACCATCTTGTCTGGCAAATATTTCTTCAGTATCAAACATCAAGGGAATAGTCTCAGACCTGGCAGACCACCATCATAATCATCAGCCACTGCAGTTCAGTTGGCAGGCGAGCCAGGTCTGACAATCACCTCCACAGGAGGCACACATGGACAACAGGGGAGGATGTGCACTGTAAGCAACTCTTATCCAGTCCTCAGTAAGCTTACCCTTACACAGAGTTTGCTCATTACAAGGGCTTTCAGCCTTGTTTACCTTAGTGATTTTCCAGGATTTCTGTATCTAAGAACAGACCCTATTCTGGCCCACGGGTGGAGTTTTGATCTGGCAGGCCAAAGAAGCTCCTTAAAAATTCTGTTCCCAAGAAAGACCAGTGAAAACTTCCCCTCTCTTGTCACCATGGGGACTACAGACTGCTCTAGCGCTCCAGCTTCAAGACAATGGTTTCTAAAAGCCCCTAAGGGCAGTAAGAAGGGTCTCACTCCCAGTACTGCATTTGCCTCAGATGTGCCCAAGCACAAGTTCACATGACATCAGAAGAAAGTGTAAAGTGACTTGTACACACAGCACTGTGGTCATCTTACGGAAAACCACCGGACAAAAGAACAAAGATTCTTCCTGGAACGTTCCACGCTGCAGCTGAACAAACCACACCTTATTGCTTTTCTAAATAGTCTGTCTATCTCCTTTGTAGGTAACACTGGTTGTCTCCCAGAAGAATAATAAAACCACCAAAAAAGTCCACCACAACTCCTGCAAACTAGGTAATATACAGGTGTCAGTGGCTGGTCAAGAATTATGACATCTTCTTAGCAGGGCACCAAATAGTATCAGGATAAAGCAGACAATGGACAGATTTAAACCTAAGGGGAGCAAAAAACAAAGACAGTATTAGATTGGAATTCTCCATACACGGAACATACTAGCATTGGGTGTGCAGCAGTCTGACAGAGCAGAGAGGGTGGATTTACCCACTTCTAGCACAGCAACAAGAGCTGACAAGAGAAAATAACCCCACTAATGGGTTTGATCATCTGACAGGTGATAAACATGAACAAGGTAGGGAGATCTTGTTTTACAAGTGGACACTCACCGGGTTGGATCTTGCTGAAGGCCAAACACTCCTCCCACACTCACAACATTGTGTTTGTTCTCAGGGTCCCCGTAACTCAAGGTTACCTGTAAAAACAAATAAATATTTCAAAATGGTAACACTAATACAGAAAACCAGAGTGGAGGTAGCAAGGTTATTAGCGAGGTACCAAGAAAGTCTCCAAGAATGCTGATTAATCTGAACATGGATCACATTTGGAGGACAGTGGTTAGTTGTGACATAAGCAATGTTGGCACTGAACTGCACTAAAGGCAATGTGGGAGAATACACAGAGGACCTGAAAGTCGCATTGCCCTGAAGGATGAGTTCCCATTGTAAGCTTTGTGAGGACATTAATCCTGCTCCTGTCTGTACCTTCACTAAATAACACATGTTCATCCTCACCAGACATTGCCTGAAGTCTGCAATAGCAATGCTTTAGTATAGAGGGAAAATAGAAACACTTGCATGTGAAACGGCATGCAAAGGACTGTCACGTGAAAAACCTGGAACACAATTTAGATCTATGGAACCTCAGTTCAGTGCTATTCTTCCACACAAGCACTGTATTAAGAAATTTTCAGGTGCTTTCTAATTGGACATTTCCCAGATTTTGGGTTAGCTGTTACCATCTCAGGGAACCAGTGATCACCAATGAAACACAATATGAGGCCTACAGTCCAACTCACTAACATGAAAGAGATTACATCACAGTGGAATTTGGCCTCAAGTGAACATTTCTGCTGCCTAATACAATTGCCAGGAAAATATAACCAAGCAGCTTGCAGGGGCAAAAAAAGCACTCCCCACCGTGAGGCAGGCAAAGCTGCTGGATGGCCTTGTGGCTCCATCTGCTGCCCAGGAGGAAAAACATATCCCAGCAATTATAAAACTACTCGATTTTTCCTAAGAAACATTAATTTTCTTGAGGTTCAGACAAATTATTCTTAAAAATGATCCAACATTTAACTACGTCTTAGCTATTGAAGAAGTACTTGCTATTGATGTCTTTTTGAACAGCATGAATTAAGACTGAGACTTTGTTAGGCAAAACCAGTAAGACTATTTAGCAAACTAAACATTGCCTCCTTCTACACTTGCTGCTACCGCCACTCACAGAAAGTCAGGGCTTAGAAGGAGATGGGAAACACTCTATTTAGACTCCAGGTAGCATAATGTGTCCCCAAAGGAGGGGACAGCCATATGACCTAGTTGGCTAGGATGAAAGTGTGCTTTTTACCTAAATGAAGGACTTGGGCAGAACATAGCTCTGAGTGAGTCTGTAGACATCCTTCTTTGCTGAAGAGTGCTACATCTGTGCAGAGTACTCTTTCTGATCAGACTGAAGTGTAATTGTAAGGATAAGACATGAAGCACAGCCCTACCTGCTGCAACACAGACTCGCCTTGTAGTCTCTGCAGATTTTCCAGGTGGGAATGGAACAAGGGGCTGTGCAGCAGCTTTACCTCCAGCAGCCCTTCAATGATGTAGCCAATGGTGCAGTCATCAGGGAGACGCACCCTTTCTGCAGTACTGATGAAGTTGCCCAGGCTGTGAGACAGAGTGTGGGAGACAAGAGAAAATGTGTTTTAAAGCCTCCCAAACACATATCAATGGAGCTCAGCTAGGAACAGTGCTTACCTGGCCCAGGGACTCATCTTCAAGGCAAGACCTCTGCTGATACAGAACCCTGCTCCACCTGTGGCAAACCAGAATTTCACGGTTGTCTTCTGAAGAGCAACAAGAAAAAACACACAGTAATTAATGATAATCAGCTTTTCCCATTTGGCTGGGCAGGGAAGGGAACTTGAAATTCTATTGGATATCACACACTGCACTTGCCAAAACAAGGCTACAGATGAATCCCTATTTGTTTAGGCTGCTGAAAGCCTAGGTAGCTGTTCTCTCAAATGAAACTCTATCTTGGAACAGACAGCAGATGAACCATCAAATTAGCATTAATGGAGGTAGCACACATGAAATGGAAAACTATAGTCCCACTCCTACCCAATTCCATCTGTCCCCTGGTCATTCTAGCCAAGGGTCACAGCCACCTCAGTGCTCCTGAGGATATCAAAGGTGGTCAATTATACACTTGGCTCCACGTCCAAGGAGACTATTGTGTTGTGCAGTCTTTCCTAACAAGCTATTTTATAACTGAATTTCTGGCTAGTGGATTGATTTATCTTTAGACCTGTCGGTACAGGTGGCCTGCTTAGGACTTGTTCTTTAGCACGTGTATCTTGTGATTGAGATATGTTTGCTTCCAGTTCTTGGAAACCTACTAACCACTTGGAACTAGAAATGCTTTATTTATCTAGAAAGCCTTTGTCACCTATCTGAGGTTGGTTCAAGATGATGACAATGTGACACTGCACTCAAGACAAACAAATAGAAAAACCCCTCAACTCCAACCTAAACTCCCCAGCCCTACGACAAGGAACACTGCTCCCATAACCTAAAGGAAAAGGAAGAGTCAACGTGGGGAGGCCCTGCTTAGCTTAGTGTGAGGGATATCACAACATACATGAGTAAAGGAACAGAAACAGACACCCACCCAGGAGACAAACTCCACCGTACATATGCATACAACATCAGAGCAAAGGTTCCTTTAACCCAGCACCCTGCCTCTGAAAATGACCAGTGCCAGGTTCACTTCTTGCAGATTAAATCACTTGGGTTTATGGGGAAATCCTATGAACTGTCAAGGTTTTAAAGGCTTAGAAAGTCAGGATGTCTCTCAGACAAACTGTAGAGTTTGCTTACTGATCCATCACTTTGGACGTGGTCAGCTGCTTCGATGGGATGGTCTAGACTCGGTCGCCCCACGTAGACATCCTGGCTGTGTGAGAAGGCAGACAGGAGATGCAGGAGAGTCCGAGGGTTCACATAGTTGTCATCGTCCACATGGCAAAACCATCTTCACACAAAACAGAACAAGAAGTTGCAGGGACAAAGAAATGAGTTATAGGTTTACAACTGAGACTTAGTCTTTCAGGCTTTGGAGCATGAAGTATTTCTTATTGCCCCAAATTACAGATTTGGAAAGCTGAAAGCACCCACAGACGCTAATTCTGTAAAGAGGCTGAAAAGAATAACCCCCTTTAGATCATAATCCTTTCCACCTTCCAAATGATGCTTGTTTATAAGCGCTGCTTCATGCTGTGCTCCCTTCCATGCACTCATCCCCACATTTTAGCTAAGACTGCATTCCTTACTGGAGCAGAGATGGTTACTCAAGTTTCCTGTGAACACAGAACTGGAAGAAACAAAGTCAATCAGAACAATGTGTTTCACCTACTTTTGCCCAGATTCCAAGAATTTATCATATTCCACAGACATCTTGCAGCAGAGAGCTTGCCGAGTATGGACAGCAGAACAGTTGGTGTTGATCATATGATCCCCTGGAAAAATAAAGACCAGCCCTTTCAGGTTTGCGAAACATGTGTAATCCAAAAAGGACTACAAAAGAAGTGCACATTTGGCACTAATCCTGTACATCTGAGGTGCATATGGTGCATACATGGAGAGCAAACTGCAGGACAGGCAGGGCTCACAGGTTATGCATCTGGCATGCAAGCTGCAGAGGTCATAAAATTGTGTGAGTGCACAAAAATGAGGGTATATACACAGTGCCATGAGACTAACTGCTTGTACAGCATGACATAAGAACTTCTAGGTAAAGTATGAAAGAAACAAAACTCAGTTACAACAGGTAGCATGCACCTAGGCTACGCAGCTCACCTGCTTTCAGGCGTAGCTCCTGATCCTCCCAGTCTGTGAATATAAATGTCTGTGGGAGACAAAAATGGTGTGTCTACATTTGAGAACTTCAGAAACTAATTTAAAACTTGTTCAGTTGCAGTCAGAATTCAGAATGTTATGTCTGTTTTGGCTTGTTTCACAGTAGTCACTGGAGTGGGGGAGACAGCTCCAGCAACTTCAACCCCTGCCTTATTTGTTAAGTTTTTTCATTGCAAGCCAGAAAATTGTCATTTCAATACAGCATCCTACAACTTACTCTTCTAGGCTCAGGGCACAGATAACCAATTTCCAGATAGAAATGACTTTGATCTTTTTTGGTAGTACCTCTTCTCTCTGGCTGGGAGTCATCCACAGCTATCAAATAGATTAAAAGAATGCAAGTCAGGGTGGGAAGTGGCAGGTGGCAACACTGTCCTGTCCCAACTGCTAGACAAAATTGCCTTACTATGCTTGAATGGGCTGAAATTCTGAAACAAGGGAACTACTTTTATGTTGTTCCATAGTAAAACGTAAGCGGCTGAACTTTTTGGTCCAAAATAGTGGTTTAGATGCATCAGCACTAGGGCTCTTTCACTCTTGCGTAGCCTTTTTCACAGTCATACACAAATCAGCAAATTACGTCTGCTTGGACCACCGATGCCAGACTGCAGCTAAGTAGCTTAATCAACAACGCCTCTTTACAGAAGGAATCGTTTAGACGACGTTCCTCAGTCCTAAAAGGAAATCTGCTTTTAACGCACGCTTTTTAACACCCGGCGAACAAGTGCAGCAGCCGCCCTGGCACACGCAGGGTCGAAGCTCCCGTCCCCGCCCGCCGCGAGGCCTCACCTGTCCCCGCGCCTGGGAGATCCAGGTTTGGAGGAGCAAGTCCAGCCGGCTCTTGTGGTACTTCCTCGTGGTCTTCACCGCGATGAAGATATCCTTCAGCTCCAGCGCCTCCCTGGCAGGGCCCGCGGCAGCGCCGGGGCGGCCCCTGCGCGCAGGCTGCGGGCTGCCCACGAGGCCTCGGCCGGGCCCGCTAGAGCCTGCAGGGCCCGGCCGGTGCGGCGAGGCGGTGCTGGGCCCGGCGGCAGGCGGGGCGCGGGGCGCGGGCGGGCGCTGCCCCCGCGGCAGCAGCAGCAGCAGGAGCGCGGCGGCGCCCAGGGACAGCAGGACCCCGGCCCTGCGCAGCCCCAGGCAGGGGCCACTCATACTGTAGCCCCGCGGGCCCCCGCCGCACGGCGCGGCCGCCTCATGGCCCCGCGGGCGGGCGGCCTCGCGCTCCGGGAGGTGGCGGCGGCCCCGCGCAGGGAGCGCCCGGAGGTTGCCGCGCCGCCGCCGCCGCGGGGCCGAGCGGGGCCGCGGCCCCTTTAAGAGCTTCACCTGCCGGACGCGGCCCGGCGGCGGCGCGCGGCCCCGGAAGCGGAAGCGGGGCGGGCGGGGCGGGAGCCGGAAGCGGCGGCCGAGGGGACGATGCCGCTGCCCGTCCAGGTCTTTAACTTGCAGGTAACGGGGCAGCCGCGCCTCCCGGCCCGTACCCGCCCAGTCCGGCCCCGCCGCGTTCCGCGCACCTGTCGCGCAAGGTCCGGCACCCTGGCCCGGCCGCGGCCGCCACGGGCGCGCTGTGGCCTTCCCCGTGGACTCTGCGGGAAGGGGCCGCTGTCGGCAGGCCCTGGGCCCTCGCTCGCCCTTCCGTCGGGTCCGGCTGTGTCGCTTCCGCCGCCGTTGGCGACGAGCAGCCCTTAGCTGAGCGTCATGCGGTCCCCGCCGCGGCCCCGCGCTCGGGTCCCGCGCTGTGCGCGCCGTAGGCAGGGTCGAGGCTCTCGAGGAGGGCGCGTTGAGGCTGCCGGTGAGGTGGATTTGAGAGTCTGCAGGGCAGGGGAGAGCCCTGGGAGCCCCGAGGGGTCGGTGACACGCGGTACCTGTGCAGGCGATCCTTTGCGGGCTTCAGCGGTAGCAAGTTCTCTGTCAGGGCATGGGCTTGTGGGAAGTGAGGCACAGGATGAGAGACAGTTCAGCTTCCAGTTCTGCCCCTTCGTCAGTGACAGGTCTGTACTGAACCCCCCTCCAGCAGTGGGTCACTCCTCTTCCTCCGGAGTACAGCAGGAGACTTCAGCTCAAGTGCCGGTTTATCAGTCTGTGAAAGGCCTGGTGAGGTGCCTTCAACAGGGTGCCTACTATGGTAGGCATACACAGCCTAAACAAAGCATCCCTGGCACTTAGTGTTTATTAAAAAAGATAAGGGAGATAAAAATGGAAAAAGTAATGGTCTCAACTTATGGTGAGTTAACTGTTTTTATGCACATTTTTCCTGAGTTGTGATCTAGACAATAAAACTCTTGTTTGCACCCTCTCTCCCTTCATGGAAAGATTATTATGCTAGGAAACAAACTTTTATATGCTTCACTTGCTTTTGCTTCAGATTTTGGGCAATTCCACATCAGTGTTGACATATGGGTGTATTTGGTATGTACCAGTTTGTGAAAGAATAAACAGGCTGTGGGTGAATGTAATTTTTAGACTTAGGAAATCTGGATCTGCCCTGTTCCTTCTCACAAAAAAACTCCAAAAAAAGAAACCATCAGCCCAATAAAAAAAAAAAGTCAGTTTTTGATTTCTTAACAGACAGCAAAATCAATAAAAACATGGAAACAATTTGGTGTTAATGGGAGCAAGGTGGTTGGCATTTCTGTCTTTTCTGAGATCCAGTTGTGTAATTTACACCAAACAACACCAAGTGTTGCTTGTATAATATCTGCACAAAATCAGCACTTTATAAGACATTCAGCTTGGTTTTCCTCAATTTAAATGGGTAATTCCTAGGAGGAATGTTCAACACACTTTAACTAGGAGGAGGCAAAGAATTTACTGCCACCAAACCAGCTTCGTTTGTGGCATGGGGTGGCTGGTCTTACCTGGGGCACACACACAGGGGCTGTAATGGTGCTGCTGTGCTGAGGTCACTGCACTGCTGTGAGTCCTCACTCAGGGTGTTCAGAGCAGGATATACTGGGAGAACAAAATTATGGTGTTTCTGCGAAAGAGGCTCTACCTGTGCAGATGGACTCAGACACTACGGTAGGATATGTTCAGCTGATGACAGATCTCTGCAGTGCAGATAGATTGTTCCTCAGTATTTGTTGGAAACTGTGAAATTGCCAGTCTGCATTCTGCTCTTTTTTTAATATTCTCAAAAGTGTAACAGTTGTTGCCTTTCTTTTCCCCCAAAAATATTACTTTTAAACATTAAAGCAAAGCAGTTTTGAAAGGTTCTGGTGGGTTTTTTGGTATAGTTTGACTTTTGAAACTTCTTGAACTGAGTGTTAATTGCTGCTTGCACTGCTCTTGCTCAAGGAAGAGAAATGGAATGTCACTTGGAATTTGGCATGCATACCTGACATACTTTGTAAAATCCAGATTTATTGACCCCTTCACTTTCTTGCTTGATAATCTACCAAGACAAATAAAGGGTTCTGTGTGAACACTGAGCCATGCTGACCATTGGGTTGCTAGAGAAAAATCCTAAATATATCAAAAGACTGAGAAGTACTTTTTAATTTTTAAAATTTTACATGTATTTAAGCAAGTCTTTAATAGGTTGAATCACATAGTTGTTTCCTGCTCAAATGTAATAAGCTACTTTTGACCTCCTTTTGCTATTCTAGGGTGCAGTGGAGCCCATGCAGATTGACGTAGATCCACAAGAAGATCAGCAAAATTCACCTGATATTAACTATGTGGTGGAGAACCCCACACTGGTACGTGCTCTGCTGAGGGCTGTGGGGACATTTCTTGAGTGTGGCCTCTTCCTTTAAGGATTTGGAAAAAATCCCTTTTGAAAAAAGTTAAAGCTGATTAGTCTTAACAGACAGCTGAAATTTAGAAAAGCTGAAATTGTAGTGTGCTGCATATTTCTGAGGATATTACTAATGTTTGAAGAAAGCATGGACTAATCTTACCCGATGTTTTTATTTGTCTGAGTCGTGTTGCCCTCCTTGAAGGGGTCAGGTCTGCAGGAAAGCCTGTGCAGGTCACAGTGCAGTAGCCTGATGTGGTGTGTCCATCTCCACCTTCTGAGGCCAGGCTTTGTTGGCAGGATTTGGAGCAGTATGCATCCAGCTACTGTGGGCTGATGCGAATCGAGCGGCTGCAGTTCATTGCTGATCACTGTCCACAGCTGAGGGTGGAAGCTCTCAAGATGGCTCTGTCATTTGTCCAGAGAACTTTCAATGTTGATGTGTATGAAGAAATCCACAGAAAGCTGTCTGAGGCCACCAGGTACTAAGAAGTCATGGGAATATGGGGAGCTTTCCTGAAAGAGTTTAAACTGATGTGCCACAGTGGAAGACTTTGCATGTAATACCACAGTGTTCCTTATGGGAATTGTCTTTGCCCTTAGAATTTAATAGCAGTGGAATGTGTGTTCAGGCCTAAGGTTCTCATGCTTTTTTAAAAGATAAAGCACAGAAATCTTAGTGTTTTTAAAAGCTGCAGGTAGATATTGAGTTTAGTCCATGCAACTGCTTCAAATATTAATGAACATAGTTGTTTTTCCTTAGGTAGATTATGGTGATGAAACCTCTTCTAGATGGCTTTGTGGTCATAAGTTAAACCTAATCTTTTGGTTTGTTTTTAACTTTTTCCCCCTCTGACAACATGTTTGCTCTTGAGAATAGCCATTGACACCTGACTTATCCATCTACATTTCTTATCTTTGCATTATTTTTGTTGCTATGTCAATTTGATGATTTCTTGTCTGTTTTGCCCGGGGAATCTTTAGCATGTGTGTGTGACAGTACGTTCATCCTAAGATCATAGGATAATTTTGAGAAGTCTTTGTAATCATCTGTGATGCTTATGTTACTGTTTGTACTGGAAATCTTATCAATCTTCTTCTTTTTTCCCCACTATCCTTGTTTTTTCTTTGATGATCTATTTTGTGTATGCAGTACTGTTTGTTAGGGTAGCAGTGCCAGGCACTTAGCAGACCTCTGTTTTGAAAAGTTTGCAGCCTAACATTAAGCTCTGTTCAAATGCTTTCAGAGAACTGCAGAATACACCTGATGCTGTCCCCGATAGTGGAATTGAACCCCCTCCTCTTGACACAGCTTGGGTCGAAGCTACGCGCAAAAAAGCTCTTCTTAAACTGGAGAAACTTGACACAGATCTGAAAAATTACAAAGGGAACTCCATCAAGGAGAGTATCAGGTGAGATCAGAAGGCTCTGCTGGAGCAAGAAAGAGCATTTTGCTCCTCCATGCACTTAACACAGGATGTTAACTAAGGCATTCAGTGCCTTAGGTCAGTGTGTTGAGTTACTTGATTGGAACAAACTGACTTTGTCCCTTTCTGAGCACCCAGTTCATTGGTGTTTTTATTCCTGTGCTCTAGGAGAGGCCATGATGACTTAGGTGATCATTATCTGGATTGTGGGGACCTCAGCAATGCTCTCAAGTGTTACTCACGAGCCCGTGATTACTGCACCAGTGCTAAACATGTCATCAACATGTGTCTCAATGTCATCAAGGTAGGAGGGTTTGCAGGAAATGGTATTTGGTTCTTTCTGATACCTGCTGCGACGTCCCCCCGTACTTTGGTCTTGTGTCTGCAATGATGAGGCTTCTCTAAGGAACACTGTTTATCCATGGGTACCCCACGTTGTTTCTGGCTCTTTACAGGTCAGTGTCTACCTCCAGAATTGGTCTCATGTTCTGAGCTACGTAAGCAAGGCTGAGTCTACACCAGAGATTGCAGAAGTAAGGTCCTGCTTTTTAACTTGCATGAGTTTTCCCTTTGTTTTCTTTTTCCAAAATTTGTAAAGCAATTTCTTCCTTTCCCCCTTTATGACTTGCTCCATATAAGACTTCCTCCTCAGCTGCTATACTATTCCTTTTGAGGTCATTGTTGCTTTTCTCCCATGATATATGTGAACAAAGTCTGACTCATGGTAAAAACAGATACTTCCCATCCTCAGTTCTTGCCATACTTCCTAGACAAATAAGATGAAGTTATCTTGCCATTGAGATTTGCAAGTTAATTATTAGGATAAAATATCCTGAAGACACTTGTAAGCAAAATAGTTTTTGTACTGCTTGCTCACTACTGCTTTGTTTTATGCTTTAGCAAAGAGGAGAAAGAGACAGCCAGACACAGGCAATTCTCACCAAACTGAAATGTGCAGCAGGTGAGTGAGTCCTTCAGCTTCCTGGATGATTTGCCTGTCTTTCTGCTTGTTAGCTGTCCATAGGGCTCTTGGGCAACAGTGTGGGCTTGGCTTACTTTTTCTCTCAGTTTGACAGACTTTTTATTTCTGCACTAGACATGCAAAATGTAATGAAGCTGATGAGATAGAACTGCTGACTGTTTTTTACCTTCTCTTTTTTCTCCCTGAGTTTCTTCAGAGAGGATATCAGTGTCAATGTAGCTCAAGGGATGCTTGATACAGTCTGAGGATCTTGTTTTACTTCAGTAGTGAAGGCACTAGCAACCATATGGGGGCCTCTCCTACTTCCCAGATTTTGCAATTTCTCCTAATTTGTATATTATCATAAACAAAGGACTAACTTTTTCTGGTTCCTAGGCTTGGCCGAACTAGCTGCCCGGAAGTACAAACAGGCAGCAAAGTGCTTCTTGTTGGCATCATTTGATCACTGTGATTTCCCTGAGGTGAGGACCAAGAGGGAGCTTTGTGCAGGTCGTGGAGGGGATGTAACTCTTCTAAGTATTAGGTTGTAAAATTCAGGTATTGTAGTTATTCTTGCAGCACTCCTGTATAGTTTGGTGGTGCAGTGCACCTTGCTGGTTGGTTGGTTTGTTTAACAAAAAGTCTCTGTTCTTGGGTTCTCTAAATGTTCTACTCTAGATCACATAGGAATTACCTGTGATATTTGTATTTTTGTGTAGCTCAATCCAAAAGCTATTAGAATTGATGTCTGCTCTCTGAGCAGTGTCACTGCTCAGGCCCTCTCACCCCACACACTGGGTGAGAGCAAGCTGAGTGGTTCCACTGCATTTGACAAGGACTAATCCTGTCACTGAATGAAGGAAAGGCCTGGGATAGAATACTTAATGCCAACCTTATGCTATTTTAGTAGTCAGTGACAGCTCTCTCTCTGTCTCTCCCTCTCCCCAAAGCTGTTATCTCCCAGCAATGTGGCTGTTTATGGTGGGCTCTGTGCCCTTGCCACCTTTGACCGTCAGGAACTGCAACGAAACGTTATCTCCAGTAGGTGAGTGATGCCTTGAGTGATGCTTGTATGTACTGGACATCTTTTGGGACATGGGACTTTGGTTGAGAGTGGATTCTGGCAGCAGAATAGCTTTCTCACACGGGGGAGAAAGAATCACTGAGCCTTAGTTTGGCTTTAGCATTAAGTGGTGTTTCACTGTCTGAAACACAGTGGTTAATCGCAGCTGAAATTTTCATAGTATAAGTTTCCAACCCAGGTCAGATCCAGCATCTGCACAGCCCAGTTGTCTGTCTCCATCAATGGTCCATATCAGATAATAAATCAGAGGGACACAGCCCTTTTTCGGAGGCAGCTGTTAAGATAATTTCCTTCATGTTGCTCTGTGTTCTGGTGTATCTTAATTGTTAAAACAATTTAGTAATTGTTAGTACACCTTGCATTGTAATCTCACATGTAACATGTGCAAGGTTAAGAGAGTTATGGTCTTTGGAAGAAAGTGGATATTTGTGTGTCACAGATCGAATTGCAATGGCACTGAATTCCTGTCAGCAAGGTGTATGGAAGCAGTAAATTTAAATTAACGTGGAAAAAGGGTTGTTACCCTTTTTTACGAATTGATTCATAGAGTGAGATCCCAAGGTTCAGAAATCTGTGACAGAGAATTGGGAGTGTGCTGAGAAAGAGTTTGCATCCCAAAGATCTGCCACACTCACGATGAGTTATTTCTCTGAGATAGTGGTGTGCTTGACCTGCCTTTGGCATGCTGTACTTAACAGAGGCTGTGCTTTGAAAGGGAACACAAAGCTGACCAGTACAGACTACAGGGTATACACAGATGTGGCCTACTGTTTTCTGGTGATGTATCCTGATTTTGACCTATTCATACTCATTTTTTTGTTTTGTGTGGACAAACACTTCTACTACTTAGTTTGACAAAAGTCTCTTGCCTTCCTTCCCCACAGCTCTGATGCTGTGCTGCCTTTCTCTGTGTTGCAGGCTCCCAGCTATGCTGAATATGGGCTGTCTGGTCCCTTAGAGAGCAAATTATTGGAATCTTTAAATGATAGTGAGAGTTTGTAACCTTGCAACTTGGATTGATGAGGTTATGGGGTATTTAAGTGATGGGTTCCAATGTCTGATCACTGCCATCTTTATTTGTAGCTCCTTCAAATTGTTTTTGGAGCTGGAGCCACAGGTTCGTGACATCATTTTCAAGTTTTATGAATCTAAATATGCTTCATGCCTGAAGATGCTGGATGAGATGAAGGTGAGTTGTAGGAGAGCAATGTAGAACAGACCCTAAAAGTTCCCTTTGCCTAGCCTTTTGTGAGAAGCAGTGATTGTCAAAAGTAGCTACTTAGAGTGTTTGGCTCTTCTCTGTCTTCTGTCTCCTGACATGGTGAATGGAAATTGGGAGCACTTTGTTGGTAGAGGGTGAGAGAAATGATAAAGGTTCTAAGTATATTGCTAGTTCTTTTATTCATTCTTGTTTTGTCATATTGCTTTGCACTAGTGTAATATCCTTAAGGTTTAAGTATATACACATAAATGTTTCAGAAAATGGGAATAATATATTTTTCCAGGTTGCTTCTCAGCTTCTGATGTGTTTTATTGTTTTGCACAGGACAACCTGCTGCTGGATATGTACCTTGCACCTCATGTCAGGACACTCTATACCCAGATTCGAAATCGTGCCCTTATCCAGGTAATTGTTCCTGTTATCTCGAGAGGTGGATGAACAGGGAGATAGGCCATCTCTTTGCAGTTTTTTCCCCCTGATTTTTCAGAGGATGGAGAGTACTCTTGGCAACTGAGTATTTTGTTCTTCTTAGTACTTCAGTCCCTATGTGTCGGCAGACATGCGCAAGATGGCCACTGCTTTTAACACCACAGTGGCTGCTCTGGAAGATGAACTCACTCAGCTGATTCTGGAGGGACTGATCAATGCCAGAATAGACTCGCACAGTAAGGTGAGTGCATTTCAGTCAAGTGTTATGGACTGAACAGCTTTACTAAGATTAGCAACTCGCCATTCCTGAGACACTTGGAAGGTGCATTCATGTGTCAGGATGGTGTGTTCAGCAGGGGTGAGCTGTTTGCAAACTCGGGCTCCATAAAGCCTGAGCTGTGTTTCCCGGTGCAAAGAGAGCTTCCTGCTGTGGAACCCTGGCACGGCTCCCATGTGCAGTTCTCCGTGTTGGTTACAGATTCTTTATGCTCGAGATGTTGATCAGCGCAGCACAACTTTTGAGAAGTCCTTACTAATGGGCAAAGAGTTCCAGCGCCGTGCCAAGGCCATGATCCTGCGCGCTGCCGTCCTGCGCAACCAGATCCACGTCAAGGTATGGCCGTGTCAAAAGGGGGCTTAGAGACAGTGTTGAGGTTTTAATTTTTTTTTTTTTAACTAAAAATATAAGTTGATTAATTGAAGATTCTGGAGCGGAATTAATTTTATGTGTTCACGATTGGATAAATTCTTAAAATAGCAAACAATAAATATTTAAGGAAATATATAAGGAACAAGTGTTTCTAGCCAATACATTAACCTTTTGTACAACTCAGAATGTCCTTTGAAGTTTATATGGTTGGCTTAATTCTGACTAATTCCTTTTGTCTAATTCTTGATAGACGTACCTTTTATCTTATCAACAATTTGAAGTAACTTTGTTAGCAGATGATGTAAAAAATGCATTAATTTTTAGGAACATTGCTTCCAGGATGCAGTTCCCAAAGGATGCCCTTAGGGAGGATAGGCCATCTGCACAGAATGTTTTCATTTTTATAGTATATTAATCCCTTTGATAACTGAATGGCAGATAGGATTAAACTGGGGCCAACAGCACCTTGTATATAGTAAATAGGCTTAAAAGTTCTGGTTTGACTTTTTTAGGAAAAGTTCTTGTGAACTGTAGAAGTTGTAAACACAAAGCTGTCATTTATCAGCTAGGGGTGTGCTCTCCCCCTGCTGCCATCCTGCTGTGCTTCACCTGTGCCTCCATTTGTCTCTCAGGAAGCAGGGTGTGGGATATTTGCACATCACTAATTAGGATGTGTTTTGGTCTTGTTGCAGTCTCCTCCGAGAGAAGGTAGCCAAGGGGAGCTCACTCCAGCTAACAGCCAATCCAGGATGAGCACCAATATGTGAAAAACTTCGTGCACTACCAACAGAAATGGTCCCTCAGGACTGTACCCAGTGTCTCACCCACTAACTGCTAAGCTTCACAAACTGTCCCTGTCTCCCTCACTTCTTGCTCAGATTGAGAGGGTCAGGGCTGATGGTGGATAACATGAATATTCCAATAACTTCAATTCTTCTTGAAAAGAGATTCTTTCTAAAAAAAAGCATCCCTGCAATGGGTCATCATTTCAGTTTTGGTAGAACATCTTCCTCCATTCTCCTTCTACCACTCCATAAAGAGCTGTCAGGTTATTCATACAGATGCTGAGTTGAGAGTTTTTCAGCTGCTATTAGTTTTCTTATTTCTAAGCTGCAAAAATAGTTGAATGGACAGGCATGATATAAGATTAATTTTGCTGGCCTGAAAGTATTGCCTTGATTTTGAGCAATGCTGAGCTTTCTGTTTTCCAGATAAACTTAAAAATACATTGCTCTCAATTATGGAGCTAGAGTTCTGATGGGAGAGATTTCCTTTGAGAAACTCTGAGTGAATTTTCACCTGCACCAGAAAATGTCATCGCTTCCATGTATTCAGTCACAGGCCTTTATTTTAGGGTTTTATGTTTACCTGCATCCAGGTTCTCTCTCTCTGGTCTCTGTTTTCAAAGACCTGTCTCCTGATGCATTTCCCACTTGTGTGTGGCCTGGCTTCGGGGTCCAGTGTTATCATAGCAGTAAATCTCTACTTCATGCAAATATTGCTTCTTGTCCAGTCTTACTGCCGTAGCGTGTGATGGTTTCCCCACATGTGCAACAGTTGTTTCTGGTAGCATGGATAAATGCCATAAAACATGACTCTTGTGGAAGCGCTGAAAACAGTCAGTCTGGGTGTCCAGTCTCCAGGTGCATTTATTCTGCTTTTCCTTTTATAAAGGGGTCAAATGTGGCAGCCCAGGGTGTGTGTGTGTTTTTTCGTCCTGTGTTCATGAAAGGAGATGTGCACTGAATTTTCTGAAGTCACTGCAGCCTTGTATACATCTAATCCATAAGGCAAGCTGAGAATTTTGATCCAGCCCTGAGTGGTCTGGGAACTGACTACAGATGTTACTGTTAATGCATTCATGCTTGTGTTTTTTTTTTTTAATAAGTTGTTATATCTAGTGCATTAAACAGCAGGATTGAAAAGCTTCTGAGTTTTTGGAGTTCTGTGTTAAAGTTGGGTTTTAGGTATTTTGTTCTCAAGCCATTATCTTTGCTAAATTTCATGATGTTTTGTAGGCCATTGTGTCTTGCTTTCTGATCTGATTGGAGATGTAGCTTGGATGAACTGTGAAGGAACGTTCAAACAGCAAAATTCCTGTAGGAACAGTGTTCTCTCCATGCTTTCCATGCTTTTTATGACTTAGGTGCTGAAAACGGAAGCAGTAGTTCCTGTGAGGTCTTTGTAACCAAATGTCTTCCATTTTGCCATGGAAAAATTCTCCTGTGATTGAGGGGAGAACTTTGCATTGGGCATCACTGATGGCCAGTTTAGTGAGAAAGGCAGGTTGAGTTCTCGGGTAAATTGCTGTACATCCTTAAGAGAAATGCAGGGGAACTACTGCAATGCCTTCTGTTCATGCAGAAGGAAAGCCTTTCAGACCTATAATGCTGCTTAAACATTCTTGCTTTCTTCCCAAGATGGGCCACTGATATTTATAAATAAGAAGATCTTATGCTCTGTTCTTTAAAAGATGGTTTTTGCGTCTCGGTGAAGTGCATCCTGTCAGGTGACTCTCTGTGCTTTTACTGTATGACTGTCCCTCCCTGGAAGCTTTCTGCTGCAGGGCTCCTCGGTGGTCAGTGATGTCCTGAGCTGGCTGGGGTCTCTGCTGTCTCACTCAGTCCCTTCGCAGCCACACGGGCCCCACGAGGTGGACACAGCAGTTTCCAGCTCTTGCTGTGGCCCGAGGCCATTCAGAAAAAATAAATGAGGAAACTTTAATAATAGACACGAAGCTTCTGAAAAAGACCCATCGTGCATACCTAGTAAGTGTTTGTCAAGCATTGATTTATTTTTTTTTAAGAGTAAAGTCTCAGCGGATTTGACTATTTGAGATTCTTATGCCATGTTCTTTGTTACTCTGTGAAGCAGCTGGCAGTGGGTGAGCAGTGTGCTCCACAGGACAGTGCTCTTAGTATTTCCTACACCATCTGCTGGTGAGGACTGAGGCTGAGACAAGTCAGTGTTTCACTTTTCTGGTAGTCCCTCAGCTGTGAATTTGCAGTGGGGTGAAAACTACCAAACTGGTGTGGAACTGACTTCTGCTTCCTCTGATGCTGTTAGGGAATAGGGAAAGGATTACTGTCTGCTTTTCAAATGAGCTTTGTGCTTCAACTGATGTTATTTTGGCTTCTGTGTTCCTATGGATCTCTGAACTCCATTCAACATCTTATGGGGTTGCTGTTGTAGTTTTAGACCACCTTGTAGGATAACTTGATCAGGCTAAATTAATTTGAATGCAAACAGAAACTGGCTAATAGGGTATGTCAAGCTGTAAGAGAAATGTTCAAGATTCAGTAATTAGAAGTTTGGTAAATTCATAATGCAAGTAAGGCAGTTTCTTGACAGCAAAGAAATAATTCAAGCTTCAGCTTCAGTAGGCTTATTAAAAGCTACAGACTGAAGGGCAGCTGCCTTAGCAAGAGATGGTCTAATTCAAACAAGAACTCAAGTGGCAAGACCTGAAAATCTGTCTTAGATGATAGATTAGGATGGGTAATCTTCTTGGAAGATTACCTGGCCCCACAGATACCACTGTTTCAGTTCTCCAAACGTTCTGCAGCTCTAGCTTTGACTTGTATTCCCAGTGCCTGTAGTTTATGTAACTGTGAAGCCTCTGTGTGCATATAGTTTGTACCCTATAAATACATGCTGAGATATGGGAGTTTCAGTCTTTGTTTTGATGCACTTTTTGTCTTAATTTTTTTAAATTTTCTCATATTTTATAAGCTGGTTGCCAAATAAAGGCAGTTGGCTTTCTTTTTGTCAGGTGAACTAATTACGTTTTCTTGTGTGCCTCTGAAAATAGATTTAGATATGAGAATCCAATTTCCCTCAAACTTGAAGACTGCATCATTTTCAGCATCATTCTATATGCAGAGCACTGCCTTTTCATCCCCCTACTCCAGTAAAATTAAATAGTGTATATCTTCTTAAGGGCCTTTGAAACAGAAACAAAATAGGCCATTACCTTGCTGAGTTGGCAGACTACAATTTTTTTATTAAAGATAAACAGGATAATTAGTGTATTGCCTTGCCTGAAATTAATTCCTTGTTTGTGCAGGTGCAGGTGTGCCTGGTGTGAATGGGAACCAGCTCGGCTTTGCTCATTTTGTAATTGGGCCTCTGAGTTCACAAGCGCTGGTTAGTGACCCAGGGGCCACCTGGACAGTTTTGCCTTGGTAACTGCCAGGTTGGCATCTTCCAGAATGGCTGTTGAAGGTTCAGGTGAAACTTTTTTTCCATTAGCGTGGTGATTTGTAGCTGGATGCACAGAGGGAGGTCTGTGTTGCAGTGCTGAGCTGAGCAGCTCTCCAGCCCTGTTCAGTTTTTCAGCCTCCAGCCCTGCCACAGGACAGGAGTGAACAGGGTAAGCTCTGTCTGCATTTCTCCATTGCGCCTGTTAAGAAATGCCTTGGGAAGGAGGTCGGGACAAATATACTTTAAATACTAATTCTGTATAGAAATGTGTCCAATTAGTATTCTCAAGTATAAGGCCCTTCCTGAATTTAGGAGCTGGAAACCAGCTTGATCGTTCCTTTGCACTGGTAAGTGATTCTGTGATGGGACTGTATTTGTGAGAGGTGTGTTCTAAAATCTGTGTGGGTACAATGGCAGAACCTCTCCCCAGCCCAGTCCCCCTGTGCTGAACTGGTTGTTTCGCATGCAACCATCTTTTCAGACTTCATAAATTTTCTCTGGCACAGTGAGGAGGGGAATGATAACTTTCTGATGTTTTTGGGAAACTAAATGGGAAGGGGTCGGTTAAGCCGTTTGAAAAACAGCATAATGAACATCTACCTTTTTTACTACAAGAGGGGGGAACAGACCACGAAACTCAAAATACCTGACAGCTTTATGTGCATGTCTGAGGCGAGAGGTGGTTTCAAGTTCCCGTCTTTAAAAGAGTCATGTGTAGACCTGGTTTTGACACATTTCTCTCAGAATTTATCAGGTGGGAAGGAGAAAGAATGATCATATAATAAAATATAAGACTTTGAGCAGGGAAAGGTTCACGAACTCGGTTCCAACTTACCACATAATTTTAGACAACCTGCTCTGTTATAATAGAGATTTTATCTTCCCCCAACCTTTGGCTCATGGAAGATTTAAGTTTTATCATACCATAAGAAACTAATAATTGTTAATGTGGTTATAGCAACATCTTACAGTCTTATGTTCACATTTCCCAAGTACTGCTGCATTCCTTTCTGCATTGAAAGCGTGGCCTGCTAAAACACAGACAGATGTGACACATTTTCTGTTAGTGAGGAAGTCACTGATGTTATTTTTAGTATGCCAGAAGGCTGTTCTAATACAATAAATTTATTTCCCAGTATTAAAAACAGGACATGAAGGGTTAATGAGCATACAAAGGGCAGAGTGTTATGGCAGCTTATATAGGTTGCCCCCCACCCAAAAATGCACCATTTTCAGTCTTTAAAACACAGCATGAGACCTTTAATTGCATCCTTTTTATTTCAAATGCAGGATAATTCCCTGAGTAAGCAGTTTTTTACTTAAATAAAACTTTTCCAGAACTGAATCATGTGGAACACGTTCACACAGCTGATGGTTCTTTGGCCCAGGGAAGCAGCGGCCTGGCAGGGGCTCTTGGACTGTTCATTTCCAAAGCTTCACACTTCACTGTCACCAGCCTCTTTCAGCACCACAGCCTCCCCCACCTCTGCCTCTCCTCTCTGACTCATCTCTGGGCTTTGAATTCCTCTTTGACTGTGCTGCCATGAAAGGGATTTTTCATACTTGGTCTTAAAAAGTAATCCATGACCTGAAGAAGCAAAGAAGGGACAAAAAAACCCAAACCAACAACCTGAAATGAGATGACTGCACTGGTAAATGGAACACCTCATTCCTTAAAAAGAATGTGTCCTTATAGTCTGGAAACTGCATCCCAAGGCTTTGAAAGCAGAAGAAATAACATACATAAAGGAAGAGCAGGCTTTTAAAATCATACTATAAACTTTTAGATAGCTATGTATGTAGATTTTAACACACACCCACAACCCATAACCCAAAGACTAAAGTAATGAATATACAGGGGAGATGAAATGTTTGCTTGGTGCCTGGTAAGGCCAGGTGCACTTACCTGGACAGTCTGCTGTCTCCTTGAATGCTCTTTTCTTACAGCATCCTCGGCACATGTTAAACACACATTTATTGCCCTGGATTGGGATGGGAGTGTAAAGAAGCTTGTATCAGTGAAAAGAAAATTACTACTGTTTACTATAATAAGCAACAATACAGCTCTGCACATTCAGATCTTTGGAAAATACCCATGAACTCAGCCTAATGGAGATGATGCAGTTGATGTCATATTGGTTATCAACTGTTTGTACATAAAGAACAAACAAACCAACAAACCCTCCACATTCAACTTATGCAAGCCCAGTAACCTGTTGGGCAGCCTGAGTTACCCACCACATGCAGGCACACGCCATAAGCCCTCTGTAACAAGCATGAGCACATTTGTTGCAGGTGAGCTTGCTGCAGTTCTCTGCAACGCTCTGAAACATAGTGCCTGACATACTTGCTACCATCTGTAGCTATGCCTAAAATACATGTTACCAAGCAATTACTTCCCTATATGCAGCTTAAAATATATCAGTGTATTTATTAAAATATAATGTATGACCCTTAGGGGACAGCAGCAGCTGAGTTCTGCCTAACTGATGATGTGGCTATACCAGCCTGGGTGTCTGGAGTGCTTTGCTACCTCCACCCCAGTTAAAAATTCCTTCAGGTTTAGGGAGGCCTTGGTTGAGTCCCTTTTTTTCCCTCTCTCCCTGCCCCCCTCCCACCCCCAGTTTCATGACATAGCTCAGAAACACATGATCTAGAGGCACAAGATTTCAAGGGCTGCCTTCAACATTACAGTGATGCAAGAGCAAAACAGAAATGAGCCTAAGCCCAGCTGCAGCC